TTTTTCCTGGAACAATCTTAACATGTAAGAGAGGGGTTTGGACGTTAATGGAAACCAAATGTACCAAGAGTTAAAGGTTTGAATGACTGTTTCCCAAGTTAATGCCCATGTTAAAAATTAATTTTTAAAAATGAACGCTGATTATCCACAATCAACAGACATGTGCACAGCCTGGGGTAAATGTGTAAAGCAATAGCTGAATCTAATGTGCTCCACAAACAAAGCAGGCTGGCAAACATAATCCTCATATTATGTGGTATAGTCAACAAATGTATGCGTACTGCACATTCAATGTAAATTACACTCTCGGGTTTTGACCTGCTGTCTCAAAGGTTCAGGCCTGTTTTATCCTCCCTTGACGGAAAAAATATGGCAAAACACAGAATCACCTGTCATCAAAATAGCCGAGAGAAAACTGCTCCATGCGGCTATCATTTGAAATGTGCTGAGCAGCGCTGAGCAAAGGGTCACTACAAACTGTCTGCTTTTGATCCTGGAACCAAAACAACAGAAAACTGGATATGTAAGACTTACAGCACGATAAAAAGCTGTGAATCACACAATGACAACACTATAACCGTTTGCAAGCATGCACTCAGCCTGTCCCTGAACTCTTCCTGAGTTGCTTGTTTTCCTCATGTCACTCACATAGAAAGATTTCCCTGTCGTTCAAGTGTCACATGAATCACCTGGTCTCAGGAGGGAAGCCATAATGTTAAAAGAACGTGCCAAGATGGCGGATGAGCCACAGGGTCCGACACTATGATGACAGTTTTTGCCTTTGCATAAATGCTGCATGTAATTGGACTTATTACCGGAAGGTCGAGGGATAGTTTCCCCAACATGCCCAATGTGTTAGTTACTTCTAAAGCGCAAAACATGCTGAAGTCCATTTAGCATAGGAGTATGAAGCAGTTTCATTATGTGCACGAATATAATTTAAATATATTATCAACCCGTTCGCTTGTTTGGAATTTCCCTGAATATTACCTGATTTGTTCATACATTGACTTATCCAGATTTCTTGCAGCAATTACACTTAGGGGCTGGCAGGAAAAACTCTGAATAAAGTTGGCCTTAAAAATTCACATACATACAAATACAGCTCACCCAAAAAATGTCAGGTTTAAGATAAAACCTCTATCCATTATCTTTCTACACTGCTTTCCTCCTTCAGGGTTGTGGGGGGCTAGAGCTGATCCCAGCTGTCATTGGGCAGGAGGCGGAGTACATCATAGATTGGTTGACAGTCAATCACAGGGCTGACATCAAGAGACAGACAACCAGCCACACTCACATTGACACCTACAAGCAAAATAGAGTCACCAGCTTACCTAACAAGCATATCTTTGGACAGTGGGAGGAAGCCAACCTCTGCACCACCATGCAGCCCTTAAGATACAAACTGATACAAATACAATGATACCCAACCAATCACATATAGATATTCAAATGTGTGCTTTTGTTTACTTCTGTCAAGAAATCCATCTCTGCAAGAGCGATGGAGGATATTTCCTCAAGGACAGCTGTAGTCAAATTTCTTCAACACATTACAATTTGAACATCAATACATGTACAGTAAGACAGATAGTAAACCCAAAAAGCAAATGTCAGTTAAGATTACATATCCAGAATTAACCTGAAACTTTTACTAGCTAAATGTTTACCTCTTTGAATGAGCAGACAAACACGTTTTACAACTCTGCTAAATGTAACTTTAACATACTTTCCTTTTTTGCTCAATAATCATAGCCAAGTTACCCTATTTAAAAAAAAAAACGACGCCATACATCAAACATGTTCAAGCCCAGCGCACACAAACACACGCACACAAATATAAAAGTGGAGCGTGACCCTGAAGATCAACTTCCAAAATCTCTATTGTGATATGGAACCAATCATTCTTGTTTATAAGAGTGCTATTTTCATAAAGGAAGAAAAATCTGTGCAACACCGTGACAACATTTTTGATTGGATGTCCAAGTGCGTGCACATCTATATTAAAATCAACTCACCGTTTGGGTGGCTCTGATCAAAATCGGAAAGAGTGACGATTTCTCTCAAGGCTAATCTTGGTGTATTTGCTTCGTCTGAAACACTAGATAAAGAGGGAGAGGAAATGATGGTTGAGAATAATAAAAATTCAATAAAGCACACAAGAAACAGAGTCCTATTTTCTTTGAAATGTCTCTTGTCTCGAGCTATTGACGGATCCCCAGGTGCTTAGATCTTAAAGTCTGCAGGTACTGAGGAGTCCTGATGACATGGGAGGCACGGCCCTGTGGTCAAAAGACTACACACACACAAACACACACACACACATCACTGATGGATACACCACATCTGCAGTCTCTCCAACTCGCTCTGCTGATGCCGTGGATCACTGCTTGTTCTGTCCGACAGCGGCTCCGCCCGGGAAAGATCTCAACTGTCGATCTCCCTGCTGTCAGCCACACTGACCCACACCGGAAACCCCCGGGAAACGGATCCAGCAAATAGCAATCAAACACACCCTCCTCTCTGCAGTGCTAGTCTGTTTCTGCCTTGTCCTGCTTTCAACTTTAGCCCGGGAAGGCTGATTGAGTGGCCTCGCAGAGAAAAGGGAGAACAAACAAGCAGTGTGAAAGTGAATGTGAAATGAAGCTCAGCGGTAGATAGTGGGGAACAGGCAGCTAATTGGCTGCTACAAGAAAGAACATGACAAATTAACGCTGATAGCAGGGCAGCAGGTTTGACATCAGATTTAGTGTCAGTACATTGTTTCCCGCCTCGGATGGAACGTCAAACGCAACCAAATCTTGTTGTTTTTTTATGCATTTAATCCGACACAATTGCTCTGCTATAGGAAGAGAGCCTTCAAGAAAATGATTGGAAGTAACCCGGGCTGCAGCTGAACGCAACCCAACCCTCCTCTGTGTGGATGAAAAATGATCCTACCATTGTTCCTGCCTTATATTTGAGGCCTACACACCTCATCATCTGCTGCTATATAGACATAGTCCCTGTTGGTGACCTTTAGCCGTGCTCTAGCACATGCATATTATGCTAAGGGCCTCGCTCCTGTCTGCTAGCACCTCTCTATCTCTGTCTTTGCCTTGTTCTTCCCTTGAATTCCAACTGCCTCCCACTGCCTTCTAAGATCAATAAGTATTGATTTTTTCTGCACCCTCTGGGGTAGAGTCAAAAGAGGGGACAAAGGAGATAAAAACCACAGGCGAATTGCCAAAGTAACTCCACTGTACCGGGGGGGGGGGGGTGATATTATCATGAGAGAGGAGTCGGAGGCTGCTTTGACTTCATTTGAAAGCACTGGAAAATGAGAGTGAGTGGCATTTTACGCCCCAAGAGGAAATTTCAAATGATTCGAGAGGTGGAGCTCAGCCAAGAGACGGCCAACAAGTTGATGCCAATCACATCGACCCAGACAGAGAGGGACTAAAAATACCTCAGAGTTTGTGGTTCAACAGCTGCTTTAAGGTGACCTATTGTCTGGAAAACAGCTGGTTTGGACTTTTGACTTCATTAAATCCAGATGTTTTGATTATCTATTATCAAAAAGAACTCCTATATTCGACCATCCTGTGATAGCCGGACAGCTTTCTTTCTTATCCAACTTTGCTAAACTGACTCATGAATAATAAGTTCTTTGATCAGAAGATCTTTTTCTTTATCATTGCTTTAAAGTGGTTAAAAGACTTGCACTCAATGCACAAATGCACTCAATGGCTGATTTGTTTTAAGGTACTTAGAGGAGTGTTTCCATTCGTGCCACTTGTACTCCACTGTACTTCAGGTTTTATTCTTTTTTATGAGATGAGGTGCTTATTTTATAGAGAAAATAGATCGACTCCTGTCGTGTCAATCCATCAAAAATCTAATATTTCTCTTACCTAACAAACACAGTGGTTAGCACTGTTGCCTCCCAGTGAGTAGGTTCCAGGTTCAATTCCCTGTCAGACAGAACCTCTCTGTGTGGGAGAAGTTTGCAAGTTCTCCCTGTGCATGCGTGGATTCTCACCAGGTACTTCAGCTTCCTCCCAAAGTCTGAAAACATGCTCGTTAGGTAAGCTGGTGACTCTAAATTACCTGTAGGTGTGAACGTGAGTGTGGCTGGTTGTCTGTGATTAACTGTCGACCAGTCCAGGGTGTACTCCGCCTCTCGCTTAGATAGGATCCGACCCCAAATGGGAAAAGCGGTATAGACGATGGATGGAAGGACAGACCTAAATTTAAAATTAGGAATTTTACATGTCAGGGATTACTTAGAAGTTGTAGATTTGCAAATGACTTGACACAAGGATGTGAATGTGAGGCAAAATGGAATCTTCATACAGCCAAAAATGACTTGTAATTCTTCTTGCTAATAAAAAAAATAATGCTAACCTCATATTACTATATAGCCAAGAAAAAGTGACATTTTAAAATGTACTGCAGTCAGTACTAAATAAAAAGTGGGAACCCCTCTTTAAGTAAAAACTGGGCCCAGATACTCTTGCATCAGTACATCCCTGCACCCAGGACGAGCTTGAAACAATAATCCTACCCAGACATTTAGAGCCACAAATGTATTGCACAGCCTTGAGGTCTCAGATATTACACAGTGTCTGCAGCAGCCAGACGATGAGCAGGAGATTTGTGCGCTCATCCACTTGCTTGCCCGTCCCACACTGGATCTCAAGGGGATCAAATGTGAATCTTTGAACATTTGCCTGAAGTTGTGCAATTTTTGAACGCTGGAAGAAAGCAAAACTATAGCACAGTCCTCCTGCAGATCTGACATATGACTTATATTTATAAATGCCATTTAATTAGTGGTGATAAAACCTAAACAGACTTTTTTTTTTTTTTTTTACGAGGCATCAGTGAGGCTCTATAAACCACTGAAATAGAGAAGCTTCATGTGATGTGGAGTCAAGCAGAGGGAGGATTTGTTATAGTAAAGCTCCCTCTAGTGTAGGAGCACAGCAACCATCAGACAAGGTTTAAAAAAAAAAAAAACATTAACTGTTTCAATATTTTTTTTAATCAGATTTTTTTTAATTGTACTTGCATGGGTAAAACAACGAAGTATGTACACATTTGTCCTTTTAGAGAAATCCAAAGAAACATTAAAAAAAGTGCATAAATGATGATAAAAAAAGAAATAAATTAACATACAAGACTCAGACAGAGTCTTAAACTCTTAGAAGTCAAAAGAGGCGAGCACTGGAATAAAGGCTTACATGTAAAAAATATAATAAGAAATCAAAATAGAAACATTAGGGCCCATCCAGACTTTGCAGATGTACAAAACAACCCCGTGAAGCTCACAAACATGAATACAGTAAAACTCTTAATGAATGCAACAAACAGGACTTTACAAAAGACTTTACAAATGATGGTTAAAAAAAAAAAAAAAAAAAAAAAAAAAAGTCAAAGACAAAAAGTTCAAAGGGGAGGCATGCTAATCATTTAGCACTGTAGTGTTCATTGTTTGCTTTAGGAGCTGTAAATGAGAGTCATGGCATTCGTTCATTACACAGCTCCTTAGTATCATTAAAAAAAAAAAAAATATCGACACTTTCATTACAATTCTCCTGGCTTAAGGCTTCGGAAACGTCTCCGCATCATCTGTTTGTAGTGTTAAAAAAATACCACTAAAAGTCTTACATATCTAACCCTGAAACAAAGTCAGGGTAACTCTTTAAATTCAGGTCACAATACTCACCATTAACTACAGGTGTTGCTTATTAGTCATTATTAAGTGCTTATTTATACCTTATTCTATATGACCATAAGTACTAGGTCATTAACTAAGAGTTTGCCTTCCTAATAACTGCCTTTAGAGAGTAAGTTATGAAGTTGTTGACCATACATTATCATCTTAATATGCTTTGCTTAGTACAGCCTTTATAAGGTAAAAGTAAGAATATTAGAATCATGTTCAACGACTTCCTAACTTACTATCAATGAGTAGTAATAAGAGGAAACTCCTAGTTAATGACCGTCTGAGGTCCAAACTGTACAAATTGTTATTAACTCAATCTGGTTGGTTGAGAAGTATCCAAAATTTGGGTGGCAATTTTCAAAAGGGAGTTGGTAGTTGGTCCCGAGGCTAGACCAGTTGAGAAGCACTGCTTATAAAGAATAATGTAGAAATAAGTGCTTAATAATGACTAATAGGCAGTCAGTATGCTAACAGTTAGCAGGCTAACAAGCAACTACTGTAGATAATGGGGAATATTGTGACCTTAATTGAAAGTGTTACCAAAGTCCAAAACCAAATGACAAATGAAGACACTTTTTAACAGCTACTGTTAACCAGTAGGATGTTGTAGTCCGAGTTTCCTTGACTCGGTGGTAAAATGCCTGAGCAGAAACGTTGCAGATCATTATATTCATTTATGGTTTCCTCTTTAGAGCGTGGAACTTTCTTTGACTTTGTTAGCGACAAAACAAAAACAGCTGTGTCACGACGACGACAGCAACAACAACAACAACAGGAACTCTGTAATCTTAATTAACTTCTGCAGGGAGACCTGTACGCATTTTAACGAGTGCACTGATTGATGTGGTTATCAGAAACATGGAGCGCTGCAGCTTTTACAGCATGTAAGGAAGTTGCCTTTCGTTTGCTGATAAACAGACTGCTGGGAATATAAAAGAATAAAATTCACATCAGGGTTAAAATGAATGATGTGACATAAATACTAAAAAACAACTGAACATTTACATTTTAATGCCATTTTTCATCACTTACTGTCATATAAAACTACAAATGTACTAGCTCTCTTTATTGCATTTAGCTGTATTGTATATCTATATATATATATTTGAATTATTTGCATTACCTTTATATAAGTAACTGGCCACATCTTTGACGCAGCAGAGAACATTTCAACAGGGCGTCACAAACGTATCACAAGAGTGAATCAATGAAAGGCTTTCTTTTACAACATACATGAGGCTATTCAGGAACCACAGAGAGATGAATGACATGTATAGTGTTGACTGCTGGTGTACAACTGTAAGTATTAAACATCTGATCCTGAAAAAAAGAAAAACAGTAACCCAGCAGGTTGTGGTAGGAGCACCCAGAGAGCACAGATCAGCAGAATTCAATCATAAAATAAGACGAAACTAAATTAAAACATTAAAAAAAAATGGTTTAATGCTCAAAGCAGTCGTGGCATTAAAGCGATCTTTATATAGGCATTCTTTATAAGTGTAATGCTTTTACTGTACAGATAGAGTATTCTGTACTAAAGGGTCTAAATAGATGAATGGTGTGCAAATTAAGCGATTGAATACACCAGCCGCGCTCAGCTTTTTTTTTTTCTACTTTACAGCGGCACAGGCTTGCATAGTTAATGAAGTACATGCATTAGCGTTTTCATGCAATACTGCATCCCATAATCATTCTTAATTCTGTCCTCTGACGACAAATAAAAAATAACAGACTGTAAGTGCAGTGAAGAAAGCTAGGGTGCTAAATCTAGTCTGTGAAGATGGTGATTCTTTCTCTTAAACAGTATGCGCTGATTCTGACATCGTGTTTCAACAGTTGCGGACACACGGGTCATAATGAGTACGGTAGTTGTCTGCAATTCAATGAGTCAGCCATGTTCTGTTTTTTTTTTTTGTATTTAGAAGCTATTGCTCCTAAAGTCTAATTGCTGAACATTATAAAACAGGATTATAGCTCTACCACTACTATGTCGCCCATGTGTGTCTTAAAGTGTGATGTTTTGTGTGTAATCACCCGGAGGTTCCTGTTACTTAAAACAGGACCGAAGTGAAACTGTAGACATTCAAATCATATACATTGAACTTTTTACACCATCTGTGCTGCAGACTTCAGATCATGAATGAGCTGAACGAATACAAAACAGTTATGCAGGCAATATGGTAGCCATGGAAACGATTCTTATGAATGCATATGCAGCGTTCAGAAAAAGAATCCGGTCATTTGCTCATATAAAGTTAAGTTTTGCTAAAAAAAAAAAAAATATGGTGACTCACATTGCAAACTGTAAAGTGTGGGGCCTAACATCCTACTGCTCTACCCTTAGTGAATGGATAAGTCCATGAAACATCTTCTGAAGCAAGAGGAGGAGCAGATGTTCAAAAATGTACACAAGCCACCACATCCTAAATGCTTAGCTTAAAACAACAAAAAGATGCTAAAAGCCAATTTTTTTTTTTAAATGGTCCTGCCTTGATCCAAAGTGCCATGCATAGGTTCCTGATAGATTACAATGAAAAGTAGAAAAGAGCAGCTAAAGGGGAAAAACCACCACTTTTAAAACATCACCGTGTTATTTTAATGGTCAATGAGGGCTTGAGCAATGTAGCCGCTCTTTTTGGTCTGCTGTTTAAAAAAAAAAAAAAAAAGTCCCGCAGAGAAAACAGAGCTCCTACATGAGAAGTGTGCAGACAGAAATATCACAGCAGATGATTCCTAGTCTGAAGTTACAGGCAGCACACTGTGTAAAGTCATCGAAGGTCACAAAGATACGTTCATTCTTTGGCTATATCGATGTTTTTAGAAGCTAATGGAGAACTTTTTTTATTTCCTCTAAATGTCAGATTTCTGGCTCTGGTTTCACAGGAAACATAATCTATAATTACCCTGTGTTCAGTTCTGTTTTTTCTTTGGCTTTGATATTTAATATCAATGAAACAGAAGTCACAATTTAGCTTCTTTTTTTAAATCATGCTATCAACCCCAAAACATGATATAAGTCGTTTCCCTCAAAGCTTTTTAGTTTTTTTTTTAACTAAATGAGATGAAGATTGAAAACTTGTGGTTGGACATGAAGGCTGCCTTGTTTGCTCAAACCCTGCTCAGGCCATCAAAATAACAAACAATAAACCCTACTCAGGGTGGAATTTCCTCGGAAACCATCTGAGAACTGATGTAAACCTGGAAGATGCTACAGAGAAACAGCTGAGATAGAAAATGTTCATGTGTTAAGTAAAAACGTACTAATGCTCGGATTAGATTAGCGTTAACACATTCACTCAATAAAAACAGACTCTATGCTGGTATCTCATGTCATGAATATTGCAGTTGTTAATAAAGATGATTGTTCCCAACGAGACCAGCCAGAGTCATGACAGCTGCCGTAAATACACCCATGCAGAAAAGTCAGCCAGCACGTTCATATTAGGACAAACTCAAGGACGTGTATCAAGGTAGTTCTAGGATTCATGAAATGGCTCATTATTGATTTTCACTTTCAGCCTGATGAAGAAAACAATGTGAAAAGTATTATTACTCTCCTACGAGGTACCGCAAGTTAGGAGAAATGCTGCAGACTTTCACTGAAGTGTGTGGTCACAGTTTTCAACATCAGCATTGGAAGTTTTTTTTCCATTGAATAATTGTTGCTAGAGGAGCATCAGTCTGTTACAGCACCAGGTGGAGTGAAGGAGCCTTTTTGTTTTTTTTAACATATATGACCCCTAAAAACATTGAGATGAATGTACCCTTTTACCATTTCAAGTCTAAGGCCTGTTCACACCACTTTACAACATGTCTAAATCATGAACACATTCCAATGAGATCATGACATCGTTAAGTTAGTGTGTATCTATATATCTCTATAAATATGAATGTTCTGGGTCAAAGAAAACTACTTTCTCTATACAAAGTGCAAACCATACAACATTCCTACTCAGTGATGCATACAGTAGTAGACTACAATGTTGCCAAAGGCAATTACTTGTTTCCATGTACAGTATTGGAAGTATTGAAAGGCGCTTAAGATCATTTTCTTCTTGCTTATGGAAAGAAAAGACGAGTTATATACGACATACTTTGTCAACATCTGTACAGACACGTATATATTTCTATTTATATTCTTTGATTTGAAAAGGGTTTCATTCCAAAACTCACCACCTCCTCAAAAAAAAGAAAGAAAAGGAGTTAACCCCAAATAAGCATGTGATAAAATACGCGTCTATCCAAAAAGTATGATTATTAAAGAAAATAATAAGTGGAAAATATTGGAAAGTTTCACAACAATGTGTGTACCGATTCTTAAAACCTTTTTCTGTTTTGGTCCAGCATCACATCTGTAGTTCTGTTTTACATCACCATGAAACAACGCGTTAATTTACTTATCTCTAAATGTAGTCTTTGTTCCTATGAATATCTTTACATAAAACCAGCCTTACCCCTTTCTTACCAAACGCATGAGAAGTAAAGAGAAAGGGACGGACCGACGGGTTGTGTGTTGATCGATGAAAACGAATGCTAACGCTCAGCCACAATCGTTTGGGAATGAAACTCTTCTAGGTGTGTGTGTGTGTGCGCTCAGTTTCAGTATTTGTCCAGAGAAACGACTTTGATTTTAAAGTTTTGTTTCTGATGCTGTTGAGTTTTAAATGCTGTGACAGGCAGCCAGCGTACTTACACCCTTTGTGTCTTTAAAAGGATAGGATGCTCGTTATATTAGAGATTTCACATGCAAGCTAAAATCACTGTTTGCAGCGATGCAAAGATATAAAAAGCATTTGTGTGACGGAAAGATAATTGGAATTCAAGATTCAAATTGTGAATTTTGTCAGCTGTCAAATAGTTCTCAAGTGCACACAATCGGAGGGGGTGTGACATACAGCTGAATGTGTTTGGATCATTAATCCTCCATGCTAGAAAACATCTAATATGTCAAGCAGTCATCCTTATCAAAGTCAGTCCTAATGCTCCAAGGTGTAATTGGAGACAATCTGCACTGCTTTTAAACGCGTTTTGGCAGAATACCAGGCAACTGTTTGGCACCTTAATATGATGATGATGTACAGGCCTCTCTTTTTTTTCCAGTTAAACAAAAATGACTCAGAGCTGGCTGCCAACATTCAGAGCTCAAAAGCATACGCATTCGACGCCATTGAACAAAACCATATCATCAAAAAAATGTCTCTTCACAAATACACTGGTGCTCACTGAAACATAGGCACAAAGAAAAAAAAAGCTGCATTATGTTCAGTACTCATTGTTACTTGCATGAATCGTCATTGAGGCCTCTGTGTTGTACGTGCAGGAGATTGCATGCTCGATGACAGCTTCTGGAAAGACGCCATCCTTTCGGGAGGCTTCTTCCCATTAGTGGGAGACTTGAGACTTACTTCAGAAATGGAAGACTTGGATTTGCCAACGTTTAACAGCGTGCGGCTGAGAGAGCTGGGGGTCTTGGAAGACTCCTTCTTGGCTGATTTTGTATCACCCCCTTGAGTCTCTGCAGGGGTCTTGGAAGACGCAGCATCTCCCGTCTTTCCGTTATCACCGCCCGCGTCCTTGGCTTGCCCGTTTTGCTTACTTGTCCTTTCTGAGGTCTTCTTGGCGAGCAGGGAGCTCTTCCCTAAGTCAGCCGACCGGCGGCTTTCCCTTTGTCGGAGGGCGTTCTTGAAGAAGGACAACCCTTTTTCCTCGGTTTTGCTGCTGCGCTGCAGGTCCCTGGTGGAGACGCTGGGGGAGCGCAGGCTGGTGACAGAAGAGCTGCTGCTGGAGCTCCTCACAAATCTCCTGTCAGTGCGGTTGCTTTCTCCGCTCTTGGACAGCGAAGAGCGACCGACCGAGCTCCTGAGGTTGTCCACCAGGGGGCTCGTGTGCATAGAATCTCTGCTGTAACTCCTTTCGACCATCTTTTTCCGACTACTCGCGGTAGTTTTCTCGGCGACGCTGGGGGCTTTCTTTGCAGTTGGCGAGGGAGATGCTGAGGACTGAGGGGTGGAGCGGACACATTGCTTGTATTGTGGCGTTGCCTCCTGAGGTTTAGCTGCCTCCTTTCGTTTGGAGGGGGTTCCACTGGGGGTAGATGGGCTATTCTTGGCATTTACACTCTTTTCTTTAGTATTGCTCATCTTTTTACCTTTCACAGGCGTACCGGAAGATGTCTCAGGACTGGAGGTCTTATGGGTTGAGCACAGGCGTTTTTTGGAGCTTTTTTCCTGCTCCTCTTTGCTGGAACTCTTCGCCGAGCTTTCTGCTTTTGAGCCGAATCCTCCGATGCTGCTCTTGCGTTTTTGTTCTTTGGAGGGAGTACCTTGGGTCGGTAGAATGTTTTGGTCTATAGCTGTGATCTGGTTGTTGTTTTCAGTATGCTCATTTTTGGAGCTCCTCTTGTCCACTGGAGTGGGAGCCCTGCAGTACATCATGTCAAGGAACCTTTTACTGTTTTCCGGCTCACTGAAGTTGCTTTCCATCATGGACGTGGGAGTCCTGCTGCCAAAGTAGCGCTCGTGTCTGCTGTAGCTGCCAAAGCAGGACGTGGAAACTTTGTCATCACAGGCTTCCCCGATCTTCTCCAGAGGAGGAGAACATCGGGAGTCGAGGGAGAAACGTGAGGGAGAGTTGGATCTCATCTGCAGCTTAGCAGAGAGAGACCACGAAGGTTTCATCCCGCTGTCGCTGAGGGCTAAAGGACTAGCGATGGACGACCTGGAGGACGAGCTTTGACGCTGAATGCTCCTCACAAAAGGCCGGACAGAAAATCCTCCTGAAAACGAGCAAGCGTTTAGTAAGAAGTGTTACAACACTTTGAAATATACGAGTTTAACAGCTTTAACTAACGTACATGTCTAAACACATTTCATTTTATGATGAATCTTAACATCATAAATACTATTATGTATGTTTAAGCACTCACACATACACATTTAAATTTCACATAAAAAGTGATGACATAGCAAAATATTATGTATTTACATACAAAGTTTTAGAAGCATCAACTCTTGTGATATCTGGGAGAATTGCAGTTGCATACCAGATTGCTTTTCCAACATATTTAGGGACTGTGCTCACCTTGTATTCTACATGGTTTAATCGATATTTTATATTTATATTGACCACAAGCAGCAGCCAGAGCCAACATGTGTGTTATGTGAGGTTTCCCCCAGCAGAGGGCTCTGTCTCTTCTTTTTCAAAGTAAGATATGGCACATTATGACAACTCTCTTGTTTGTGTATTATTCTCTCTCAAGTCACTTTAGAGTTGGCATTTGGAAGTCTAATTTGGTGTCTTTCTATCTATTAAGAGGCTTATTGAACGCTGAACGTAAAGCATTTCTTTTTCTCTTTGGGTCTACAGCACCATGAGGCCTGGCAGCACCAGATGTTCTTTATTATTTTCTAGCAAATTAACTTCAATACAAATTAAAAAGGATCCTCCCTGAACAATCAGTCAGTACATGGTTAGATACCGAACAGACAGATTGTAATAACATCGCCATCCCTTTACCAGGGTCTGAGGGCGACTGGATGAGAGGCAGCAATGCATCACACAATAAAGAAATACAAGAATGACTAAAATCTGGTGAATATAAGTGCTACTTAGAAGGAGGAGAGGGGGAGGGTTCAGGGTGGACACACACACACGTTTCTTCTTGTTTTTGCAGTTTTAAGTGTGAACACATATTGTCACACATAGTATTGCTCTTGTCATGTCTCTCACACGTCCTGTAGCTGTCTCACAAGACAGCTACAGGACGTGTGTGATTTATGAAAATATATGAAGCACAAATACTTAATTCAAGCACGTCTCACCGTCATCTTCACTGCGTTCTCCTGGAAACTCTACAGACTCTGCCAATGATGCCAGAGAGGTACGTCTGGATGAGGCTCCAGAGGCCAAGCTAGCAGGCCTACTGCCGGGTAACCTGTTGATCCAGTGGTCACACAGGGAGGAACTGGTGGAACCTTGGGTGATGAACAAAAAAAAACAAGTTTATTCAAAGGTGTAGAGTCAAGGTCAGGTTAAGAGAATTTTCTGAAATAATAAAACTACTTTCAAAAAAGATCTGAGGGGTACATTCAAGACCTGGGTGTTTTTTTTATACCTTCATGATAAAGAAGGACAGTAAACTGAGTAGGAAATGAGGGATGAGAGAGCGAGGAATGTAATGCACCAAAGTGCTAAGGGTCTTAGTCAAACCCAGGCAACCTTCCTCAAGGACTACTGACTTTGCAAAAAAACAGAACCTCTGTGAGCTGCCTGAGTTCCTGTTGTGCCCCTTCATAGAGGCTTTTGAATTGCTCTTTGTCTGGACCCTCCCCTGGGACCAATTTGCCTTGGGAGACCTTATCAGGGGCTAATGCCCTCGACAATCCAGGTCCCAGGTTTACCAGGACACACAAACCCGTTAATTGCTTAGCTCTAGTGTTTAACATTTTGCAACAGTTTGATGTGGTGATAAAAAATACTGACCAGCAACAGAGCTGTTGGCTGACCAGGAGGGGATAGCCGTCCTCCTCTGGTAGAACAGTATGTAGGCCGTCTGCTGGCACACGTCATCATCAGCTACTGGTGAAACCTCACTGTCATCAAAGCAGTACCACTGACCATCAATGGAGTTCTTACAGTAGGCTGTGAGGGGGAAGCAAAGAGAATAATGGATCAAAATGAACACTTAAAAAAAAAAATCTTTGAACTAGACTAACCGTTTACGGCGTTACCTGTGTAATGGCCTCCGTGCATGTTCCCATGGTGGTTGCACACAGCATACAGGTCATACAGGTAGTCGTCTGGGTTTCTTCCCAGGCCATATGGCCGTCTCCATGGCGACCAATGGGAGGGTAAACTCCAGCTGCTTTGGCTTCTCTTCACCACATGAGGTGCCATGTCCATGCCCATCAGCGGGAACCTCACCATGTTCTGCATCTTCACCCTGCGGTCTCCCTCCTGAAGAAGAACCCAGAAACAAACAGAGACACATTATAGGAACGCCACCAAGCGACTAGCTGCAGCTGAAGACTAGCTGCTAGGGTGTTGTGTTTAAAATGATAAGATAAAGTGTTTTTAATAAAGAAGAAAGAAACATTAGCTACAACCATTAGTGAGAACTTCACTGCCGCAGACTGCTCTTACTCAAAATGAGGATACTTTAGGTTAAACTTTTTAGATGAATAAACAGGGATAAAAAGTGTGTCCTATAAACCGCATTTTAGGTAGGTTTATAGATTTAGAAATAAAAAACATATTTAAGTAATTAAGTGAGGATGGAAGAGTGCTGAGTCAAAGCAACAACTTCAAGTCAAATGGATACATTCTGAGCGGGGTTTGGTGGAGATGATGTACCTGTCTGAACCTCTTGAGATGCAGGATGAGCACATCCGGAAGCGTCCACAGGCTGAGCTTGATGCGGCCTTGCTGCAGCTGCTTGCAGTGGGGACAGCGCCAGGCATCGTCTGGGGCCAGCTAAAACACACACCACACATCACACAGCCAGGCAAGCAGCTATCAAGGACAAGTTCCAACCACACTGCTTATAAAAAAAGAGGCCTCACACAGGAAGAGGCCCTGAACCTCTCTCTTTATTCAACTCCAGAGCAATAGCAGGCAAGTCAAACCACAGTGTGTGTGTGTGTGTGTGTGTAGGTCTGTACTGAGAATTTTCTAGTTTAGTCTAAACATAGCAATTGGAGGGAAACTCAGAGTTAAACACATAGAGGGAGAGGCTTTCTGAACTTGAGAGGAGGAATAATAAACCAGTGGGGAGAAGAACAATTTGAGGTTCCAATTTAAAATATACTGCCCACTGACATGTGCTGAGGTGAAGCTAAGATTTATTTTCAAATGTCAATCTACTGACAGTGCAGTAATTGATCTCTCTGTGTGTGTGTGTGTGTGTGTGTGTGTGTGTGTGTGTTACCTGCTCCTCTTTAGTGTAGAGGTGGAAGCACTGAGAGAGGGTGCAGGCCTGTGGCTGATGATGTTGCTCCCTGTGCAGATACACACTCTCAGCATCAGGAATGTACTCCTCCTCAGTGTGTCCAAACAGACTGTGGGAAAATTAGGCAAAAAAAAAAAAAAAAAAGTCCATTTATGCAACAGTAAAGTCATGGGAGAGAATCATAAGATCCCGTGAAAAATGTGTTTAAACTACATATACATACGTTTTAAAAGCCCCATGATTAAGTAATTGGTTTAAGATGGGGAATAAGAGCAGACAAGTCATTGACTGTGTAGGAAGAACTTCAGACTCTGGTGTTTACTCTGTTTTAACACATAACACAGCTGTTTCCAGTTCAGCACATCTGCAGGTAGATTTGTATTGTTTATTTTTTCAAAAGCAAGAAGTTATAATTGTGGTCAGGGCCTGACCGATACGGGAATTTATGGGGCCGATATCGATATTGGGGAGAGAGAAAATTGGATACCGATATATCGGCCGATATATTTGTTAGATCGATGAAGTCTGTAGAGATGGATGGATGTAAATTAACATGTTTATTGTGTTGATCCCTCAAATCAAATTTTCAAACAGTTGTCAAAAAGATATACAAAATAACGAAGACAAGATGCTCACTCAAGTCTAAAAGTAACTGCACATGTACCTGCATCAACGCTTGACACTCTGGAGAGTGATAATGCTTGATGTAATGCAAATAGCGCCCTCTGCTGGTGAAAGAGAACTGCTTGATTAATACAATTAAACTCAGATGAAATGCTATTTGACTGGTGAATAAATCTAGTAATATCAGCGCTTATCTGTGATAAAATTAGGCAATACAGATAGTCACTGGATAAGCTAATATCGACAGATATTATCGGCGGGTCGATTAATTGGTCGGGCTCTAAGGGGGGTAACGGAAAATATTTGGCTGCTGAAGTTGACAGTTTTTAGAAATCCAGCATAATGCTAAGATTTTCATCCCCAGTTTAATGATATGTTTCCTCACCTCAGCTTCAGCTACGACACAGCCAAAAAATGTTGATGACTGCAGCAAACTGTTGCTCAATGTAGTCGCACTTAGTTATGATAGAGATAAGTTTTAGATTACCTGACTGACCGACCAATACATCATGAAGCCAATTAACAAGAATGTTAGCACTGCCCGCAAACATGATCAGATGCTGGTCTGCACTACAATTTGGTGATATAATACATAACATATACCTACATAAGGTTACTGGTTGAAGAAAATGCTCTTCTGAATATTTTGACATTGTCATTTCTGATCAAGCAGGCTCTGCCAATTAAAGGATCAAAAGTTTGGCACTCAGTTCAAGAAATTTCAGGTCGAACTTTGTGTTGATACATGATGCCAGTAATTGTATTTCCACCATTGCATCACTTTAAGTGTTTAACTTCACAACTTAGCAGTTTAGCTAAGTAGGCAGAGCACAGAGAGCAGACAGAGGCTTATAGGTCCTCACCACATCTCTGGCCCTCAGCACCTTTTATCCCTTTATGTCTCCCTCTGCGCTGCTTTCCAAAAAAAAGATTGAATAAAAACTTCACAACTAATTCTATCATCTCGACTCAACAAAATCTCACAGGCTCACATGGAAAGCTTTTCAGCCTGACTGATCACATCAAAAATAAAGCTGTTTAGGCATCGGAAGAGTGTCTCAAACTGTCCAAATAGATACTATGTTCAAACCAGTTTGTTTGGTGTATGCGTGTCTCCTAAATATAATGGTTTTGCAGTTGTTTAGATTTATAGATTCTATACATTTCCCAAGAAGAATAGAGAACATAGATATGTTAAACTTGTATTTTGTTCTGCACAAACAAAAATGCAGCAGAAAAAAAAACACAAAAAAACCAATGCACACTACAGTGTTAAATGTAGTCTTTTTCACTTACTAGTCCTTGGTCTCTTTGTCCCACTCCACCACGATCTTCACATGTGGGGGTCCTCCCTGTCCACAGGACTTGTATGCTCTGTTAAGGAAACAGTATGACAGTGAGAAACGAATGACATCGTCTTTCACTTACAAACTGGATTTCATTTATGTCATATTAAAGCCGATGATGTTAATCAGCCTTTCCTCTCAAAATTGAGTGCCTCATAATGAATTTCACTACTTAAAATAAACTATTTAAAAATGAGGTCAGTGTAAAATCATTCTTCTGTCAGGGATTGGTTGGCACAATATCACCTTAAAAATATATATATATATAAATGAATTAATTACTCTCAAAGTAGATATAAAAGCTGAAACTCTTATGCTACACTAGCTGTTGCCAGGGTTACAGAACCGTGTAGAGATCAGACAATAATACAACAAATAACATTTTATCTTTTTTTCAAAGAATCTATAGTTCAAAAGTAGAATAAACAGATCAAGTGTTTATTCATGCAGCTCTGTGAAGCAGTAAGGTTTGTGACTTGTATAGACTGATGCACACTTATGTAGGTGATAGGCCAAACGTGTTAAACTGGCATTTTAACAAACAGGAAGAATCATGTTTGGGCTTGATGAGAAGGAGGCCTGTGAGAGCAACAGATGAGGCCTGTCATGAGAAGTAGAAAGGATGAGATTGATGTCACCCCAATACTCTAGTACAGTGGTTCTCAAACTTTTTAGACTGCGTACCACCTCCGAAAATATTTGGCTCTCCAAGTACCACCATTGTTGGTAGCCACACTATAGGACTACTAAGGGCTAGTGCTAGAATTGGCACTTTAACTAACACAACTCTGACATTTGCCCAAATCAAAAAAAAAAAAAAAGTGCAGCACAATAAAAATGAAAACTTTATACTAACAACCTGTTTGAGAATATTTAGTCTCCAGTGTTTCCCACTAATAGACGATAACTGGGCCCAAGTATATTTCCGACCTGTTCTAATTTAATTTTTCATTTATTCATAAAATTGCTGCGTGCCTGAGAGAGCGAGAGGCAGCGGGGAGAGAGAGAGACCGTGCAAGAGACTGCAGACGCGCGCGCGCTCCGCAGGCTCGGTGCAAACAGTGCCGCTTTATTATAAGTCTCTGCGTTCAACATAGCAAAACTGCCTTTATAAAAAAATCCCTCTAGACTCCTGAGGAGTGTTAGGACAGCAAAAGAGAGCAGAATCACATCAGCTTCAGAGCTACAGAGAGAGAGAGAGAGAGAGATAGAGAGGGTGAGTGACTGTCCGTACATGCATCAGAAACTGAAGCTCCTCCTGGCTCCGTTTTAAAAATGTACAGCTGCTTGCTGCCGATTGTGTGCTGAACTCCAATAAATAAGAGAATATCTGTTAATGTAGGCCTACAGCTGCTTGCTGTTGTTTCAGGACTGAAATATAACGGAATATCGAGTGGAACTTTTCAAAACGCGAGGCGTACTCCTGTCGTTGTTTATGTCTGTGTGCGCGCGAGCAAAAATTGAGCAGATCAAAGTTGTTTGTTGCAAAAACTAGACTAATTTAGAGGGGAAAACACATTTGATATAAATACAAACCAAAGATACAAGACAGATAAGATAGGAGCATGACAAAAATAAAAAATGTCGTTTTATGCTGAACAGGTTTTTTTTTTTTTTTGAAATATTGTGGAGATTTCTTTGCGTACCACCACAGGGAGCCCGAGTACCGTACCATAGTTTGAGAACCACTGCTCTAGTACTTCCCTGGAATTAGCTTTGTGTGCGTTCGTCTACACTTTGGTTGTTTTGATTACAGGCGAGCTCACTCCCTTTTTCTCACCAAGACAAATGTTGAGCCAAAAAGAAGACGAGCTTGATTTGCTTTAGAGAGTTTTAATAAAAATATGAAAAAAATATAGGAGATCAAACCAGATGAATGCAGTTTGTTTTTAATGTTCATATTGTCATGCTATTTGGACTTCTGTCTTGCTGATAAAGAAAAAAACACTCCTACTTCTACTGCACTCGGTTCAGCCGTCTGAAAAAGTCATAGAAAGTAGAGAACCGTGGTGTAGCACGTTTCTTTTAAGCTTTACAAAAACACGTGTGTCAGTTGTGTTACTTGCGTCATCAACTCGATGATATGAAAGCTACGCAGTCTGTTTACTGCATGTGGCCACAGTGTTAACCAACAGCAGCTCGAGGTGCTGCTTTAATGGAAACACACAAGCTGAAAAGCTGCCTCCTGACTGAGTGTCTGCCTCTTGCATTCAGCTGACATGATCTGTAACGGCAGCAGTGTGTCCTGTGCTTGTTTGCAGTCATGTGACGTGCAGACTCTGCACGCAAAGCAGCCAGTTCACTCTGGGATCAGGTGAAGGTCTGCTATAATATGATATCAGACCGACTTCTCCATTAGAATAACCACTGAACATGAGAAACTGGGCAGCTTTGGTTTCGCATTTAGCACCACAGAGCAGACATGTTCCAGGTAATATTCTTTCCATCCAATGTCCTGCACTCTTAACTATTTCACATGTACAATAGAGGGCATAACTGAAGTGATAAAGGACCTTTTAAAGGTTAAAATTGTGTGAAAGTGGAACAGCTTTGTGAGGTATTTTGTGACAGTGTGTACTGCATGCAAATCTGCAAGGCATGCATATCTCTCCAACTGCAAGACTTCAGAATGTGTTATATAGAGCAGTGAACAGAAAATAAAACTGACCTATCAACAGTGGGATGACACAGTGGGCGCTCGTCTTGAGGAAGGAGGTAGGTGATACCAACAACGCCTACGACTCGAAGACTGAAAGGTCCAACCTACACAGATACACCACAGTCAGTACTTCTGTTACAGTACATCTGAATCACTAAAGGGATAGTCAGAAACATCAGTAAAGAATTGCACCAATTTTAATGTCGAAAAAGAAACATATTTGCAATCTCAAATTTAAAAATTAAAGGAGGAGTTTTTTTTTAAAAAGTGCTTGACCTTCTCCCTACCTGAATGTAGACGCCAGGCCTGAGCAGATGACGCATTTTCTCCAGGATCTCTTTCTGCAGAGCATCCCAGGTCACAGTGCGCTCCATGTACAGTACAAAAGGTAGCCCAAACCTAAAACAACACATGTAACAAATGTTTGTTGCTTTGTCAGCTGTTATGAACTGCTTCAAAGGGCTTTCAGGAACAGCCCATCAACCTCTATACTCTGGATATATTACGAACATGTGCCAAAAAAAAACACAGATTAGCAGTGAGGAAATCAAACGATCTGATTGTACCTCTTCCCTTGGTGGCCAGAACAAGCTCTGTTGCACACCAGAAGAATGATTTTTTCTGGTCCCAGGTTTTTATTTGGGGATGCGGTTAAAGGAGTCATGGCCCCCTGCATGAAAGACGGAGTCCTGCTGATTTCTGTCCCGTACTTCAAGTTGTTGTGATTTAAGTTTGCCAGAAGACTTCCTGTCAAAGACACATAAAAAGAAAGTCTCTGTAGATTTCATTCCATTCATTTCATGTCAAAAGGGATGAGTGTTGACGGAAAACTTTACCTCTCTTTGTGCGTATGTTTTCCAGTTTGAAGGTCTCCGGTGTCTCAAAGGCAAATATGGAATCGCTCTCTTGAATAATGTCGAGATCGTCGTCGTCATCGCAAAATGATCGATGAAATCCATCATAGTACATTTCCGTCAAAACAAACTGAAAGAAAACAATAAGATTTGTGTCACTTATTTGTGTACATTTTATTTGAATTATTTTATGTTTATCTTCTCAAACTAAGCCCCCTTTTGTTTTGTTTTTTAAAGGTCATGACAAACAAGCGCTGACGGGTAGAGGAGGCTTCAGGAACAGGGAGCTAACATTGTGTGACTGTAACATAGCCTCACTGTGTCAGACCCTGAGCTGATAGGAGACTAGGAGACAAGAATAGCACCTGGTCCATAGGGATCTTTGTCTCACGTGACACCACATCTCTGAGGCGATAGACGGTGCTGTTGAGGGGAACAGCAACCCCGATCCTCATACAGTGTGAGTACTTCCCCTGGTACACCATCGTCACATACAGGGGCCTAGTGAAAACAGATTACAAAAATAAGAACACATGCCACTATGAGAGCTGGGTTACTCTTCCTTTGCAACCATGGTATGTGTGGAAATGTCAAGCTTATTGTACCCTTCATTATAGTTTAGGGTTTTTTTTCTTTCATGACTAAAGACATCTTAAGCATTCAGTTGTTTTGCCTTAAAATTTCAAAGTAAAAGCAACTTCGAAAACCTGTTTAACTCCCTTTCTGCACCCTCAACTCCCCCAACTCACACCAACGCACCAGACCACATTCTTTCTTCTCATATTTGCTTCAGGTTCTCATAAACTTGTCAAAACACTAGTGAGCCTTGAACGAGAGGTGTCACACCTCGAGAAAAAGAAATGACCAAAAAAAATGTATTTTGAAACCCTTTTTAAATTACTTTATGAGCCCATAAATGCTTACTGTGGTGAACCCAATCAATCACTGAATACAAATAGTAAAGCAGTAACAATAAGTCATTACTTAGGCAAGGCACTCACCGTGTGTGTGGCAGTGGGATGGGTAAGGAGATGCAGAGGAATGGATCGAACGTATTGCTCTGCTTTTGGCAATGTGGACACGTGAGAGAGGATCTGTGGGGGAGGAAATATGTTGTTGTTTTTTTCTTATATGTACTCTTCATAAAGTAGAGATCATTTAACCAATAAGCGGAATACTTTTACTTGACATTAAGTGTACCTGTACTGCGCCTGAAAAAGTTCCTGTACAAATGACCCAGCAGAGAGGGGAGGGGAAGGGCCCTCTAAGCTTTGGTCATCCTCTTCAATAGGTGGCTGAATAAACACAACAGGGTTTTACCAGTCTGATTAATACATCATGAATAACACCAGTTTATCAGGGATTATAACCTTTCATAAGAAGCCCTCACACTCTGTTGTCATTGACCGGCGCAAGGAAACAAGACCAGGCATGCCTAGTTCAGCCTGACTGTGAAAGACGCTTATTAGGAATATAGAAACAAGTGTGAAAGAGCAGTCGGAACACATGAGAGTTACAACGCACTCGAACAAAATAGCCAAACAATAAACAGTGGGAAACGTTTTGTCAGCTTAAAAAGGACTGCACTGACAAAACGTCCAGTAAGGTATCATCTAAACTTCCCTTCAAGTCTGTATTTTCCAACCGCATCAACTTTGCAGTCTTGACTAAATCGTCCATCTTTGTCCATCAAGTAAATCAACAAATCCTCTTAGGTTCACCTTTATAGCAGGCCTGCTACTTGGGTTGACTGTGTTGAGGTCTTCGTGCACTCTGTCCAGCAGCCACAGCAGAAACTCTTGAGCGTCATGCTGAGCGTGCCCTTTAAACTGGGTGGCATTTTTCGACACGGCATTCTGAAACAAACGGCAAAAAAGATTGCAATGCACGCACTGAAAGAAATGTGACGTTTTGTGATCATTAACAGCAGATCCTCAACGTCAATTGTTTGCAAAGATATTTGTTTCAGTCATTCGATACGTGTGACCAATTTACCTTGAAATCTCTGCTATGCTGGGGGGTGTACTCAAAGGTCCACAAAGCCCGCACAAGTCCTGACAATTGCTCTGTAACCTCTCCTTTGCTAAGAGGGCCCTTCTTCTGCAGGAGTAGACCGTTTGTCTTTGGCCTGTCCTCGTCCAGCTCCTCGTCTTTGTAGTGCTCCAAGACGAGGTACTCAGCAAAGAGTTCAGTGTTACTGAGGCACTGCAGAATTGCGTTCATGAAGCAGGTATTGCCGTGGTTTTTCAGACCTGACACTCCAGGGATCTTCTCTCGAGACAGGAAACCCCCCAGGTCCCCATCATCCATGCGCACGTCTTTGCTGCCAGATTTGAAAGTGGAGAAGCCCCCGTCATCTTTGTCCTCCTCAGTTGGCACCTCAGATCCAAAGTGGGACAAGGCTGTGAGGGTTCTCAGGACTCTGCTCATAAAACTGCCCACAGAGCGCACAGAGCCTCGCCTGAACAGCTTCTTGCTGAAGCTCGACTTCTTGTCCTTGGTTGCGGCTTTGCAAGACATGATTTCGCCTTTCACGGCCGGACTTCTCGCACAGAGGTGTCGTGTGAAGAGGCAAAGCCAGATCACCGGCTGCTACTTGCGGCTCAATTTTAACCATGTAGACAGCATTGACGCCATCTGGCTGAAGTTACACGCTGACAGCATTGGGGTTTATTGGCTCACCTGAGCGAAGAGGAGCATTTTTTTTTTTTTTACAAAAAAAGGTCTTTCTCAGAGTTAAGCATAATTTAAATCAAAGTGTCAATTAATGTAAGCATATCTGACATTACAATCTCGCCTTAAATACTGACCGTGGCCAATTGCGAAAGGAATATATAGCGGAAACAAAGTCATAGCTGGGGTTTAGTTGCCCCAGAGTTACCTTGTTTATGCGGTTTACAGCTGCAATGAATCAACGTCGGGTTTTGCTGAGAGCCAAGACAGCAGTATCAGCTAACGGAGCTAACGCTAGCGCCAGCTACAATAACAACACGAGCGACAGACACAACAACAGTCCTGGACGTCCGGACTGTCGACGTCCAGCAGAGGCTCATAGTCCACCATGGTTCGCAGGTGACAGCAAGTTAAGTAGACAAGTGTGTCCCAAGTTTGGTTAACCGCACTTGTCAAGTATTTGAAGTCTCAGCAGGGCTAAGCTATCAAAAAGCAGAATCGTTTTTTTACTTATTCTTCTTCTTCTTCTTTTTCTTCATGTCTGTGTTGGAAAGTGGTAAGATGGTTTACATTGACATCATCGCCACCTACTGGGCTGGAGTTAAAACAGCAACCGGTACAAAAATATTTAAATTAAACCCTATTTAATTTAGTAGTAGTTTATTTCTTGACATAGCCAACCATGTTTAATGCGAGAAATCCATTCGAAATGCTATTATTTAAGAACTTGCATTAAAATAGGATCGTAAATCTTTAGCACTTGATCAAGATTAAGATTGACATTTTTACACTATGTAAGTCATGAACACACACATGCACAAACAGGATATTGCATAGGATATGGATAGGACAGGACATGCACTAATGGAGAGAAGCCAGAGTGACGGAGCGGCCCACAGCTCCTGAGCTGATAGTGGGGAGGGGGTTTGGTGCCTTGCTCAGGGGCACCTAGGCAGTGCTCAGGAGGTGATCTGGCACATCTCCAGCTACCAGACCAACTTCCATATTTGGTCCACACCTGGACTTGAGCCAACCCAAGTCCCTACAGGCTGAGCTACTGCCGCCCATCAACAGAATCAGGACCCTCTATGAACACATTTATCAACAATAATGAGCTTGCCTTTTACAGTATCCTATATATAGGTAGGCATATACTGTATAATAAATTGTGGAATTGAGAATATGAGAGAAGAAACACTGTGACACTGTGTTGGAAGTGTATCGATTCATAAATATTAGTTGTAAACATGAATAATTTGTTTTCCTTTGCAGGTATAAGTGAGTGGATGAGATGGCTAGAGGTAGTAAAAAAAAAAAGAAGAAGAAAACTCCACACTCCAGAGGGGCTGTGGCTCAGAGGTATGTTCTCCTGCTGCGTGTGTATAGTGTATGGAGTAATACGATTTGGCCGTCGGGCACTTTCAGGCACAGCCCTTGCCTTCAGTGTGTGACTAACTTGGTGAACGTGACGTGTCCTGTAAAAGCACTTTGAGTAGTTCAAAAGACTAGAAAAGCGTTACACAAGGCCATTCACATTTTTTTACCTTGTAACACTGCATTGTTCAAATGCTAAGGCATTCATGAGTATTACTTATATTCACATACTGTACTATTGTTACAGAGCAAACAGCCGGTATAAATTCAGAAATTTCCTTTGAAATAAACAAAGAAATATAGTGAGTGAAAATCTGAATAAAGCAGGGACAACAGATTGATGTCATTACAGGCCTGCTGATGCAATCTTTCCAAATGACTACTACTACTACTACCACTACTACCATATCATTTTTGGATTCATCCAACTCAATAAAAAAGTGTGTCAAGAGAAACTAAAGTGCTGTCAGTAATTACAATGCAACTTTTGGGTTTTGGTTTTTGAGTGACAGTTGTTTTGTGTTGTCGTCGAGTGCTGATTTGCCGCTTGTTCTCGTTGATGATGGGATCCACATACTGCAAGCAACACTGATAGTTTCATTGTGTGTAGAGAAGAAACTTAGTCACATTTTGTTTTTTTTTGTGGGAGTTCTCCGCACAGTCTTGGCATAGGATCAATACAGGAAAAGGAAAAACTTAATATTTGTCCTCAGGAGAGAAAAAGACTTAACCCCATCCTTCAATGAATTCCTTCTTAAATCCGTCTATTGAGGCTTTATTTTCTGGTTTTACCTCCAGGCATTTGTTTTGCAAAAGTAAAAGTAGCAATACTGCACCATGGATGCATGACTGATTTGTGTTCCAAAATTGCAACCAGATATTTGTGACGCACAGCTTTGTTCCGCAACTTAATGGAAGTCTACATAATAGTGACAGTGTTTGAAATACTAAGGGTACATTACATACACACTCCTCACCACTTGGTGGCTGCACATGCATGTCAAAGCCTATGTTTTTATTTCATAGTCATAGCGTGCTGCTGTGTGGGGGATTTTCTTGCTCAGCACTGTGCAAAGATAACTTAATGTCATTGCTTTATTCAGCAGGTTTTTCTTTTCTGATTAAAAACAATAGAAAAATGTTGCTTGTTCCATTGTGGATTGCAAATGTCAGCATGAGCTCTCAGCGGAATGTGTTGCTGCAGCATTGATGTGTAATGTGAGCAGTTAACGCTGCAGAAGCTAGGACTGGGAGGTAATCAATGTGCACAAGATCAGATGCATCTTCTGCGTATTATATAAGGCTATACCGGCAAAAATAACTGTTTTAGTGTGCTGCAGGAGCATGCAATCAATCATGAATAACCAAGGAAGAAGAAGAAGAACGAAGAAGTCTGAATGGCACGTCTATGCATTTAGTTGTTTTACTTCTATAATTTTAAATCTATTTCGGCCTTCTACTTTAGTGGACTTTGGTCCTTCACAGAATGAACAAGTAATCAGTGTTTAGTGGCTGCACTTTCAACCCTCAATCTTGTCTTAATTCAACGAGTCATTCAAAGGTCAGTCAGACACTTATTCATTAGTGACACTGGGGCAACTTCAAGATGTGCCATTCAGACTTTTTCCTTTCTTCTAAAAATAGAAATTAAATGGTCAGATGTCTTAAATGAAAAACGAACAAATGTGAGGTAATGCAGGGTGCTCAGAAAGAGAGAAGCTACTCTCTGGAATATGTCCAAAAGGTCTCAAATATGGATTACATCATTTTTGGATTCTGAGAATATCAGCATGTGAGCATATAACAGGAAGAAAATGGATCTTCCCAAAAGTAAACAAATGGTTGGCAACATAAGATGGCATACATAGTATGGAAAAAGAGAAAAAGGTGGGCTTCAGAATGTTGACTAACTTCATATTTTGTAAATCTGTATAGAAATGTTAGATGGACCATGTTTGGTTTGGATGATTTAAGCAGTGAAACGTTAAAGGCCGACTGCATTTGCCTACCTCGACAAATGAAATATCAAAGCCTTAGCTTTAGCTTTGTAGTTGTCGCTAACCTTTTCTATAGATGTATATAAGCTACATTATGTACATGTGAATATGTACGAGTACTATAATCAGTAATATTTATGTGGGTGATTGCCATCTTCTTTATGTGTGCATCATTTATGTACTTGTTTGTTTTGTATAGGTGAGGTTTAACAAAAGTTACAAAAAAAACATATTAAGATCACCTGAAACAACAGGAAATGTACTTGTGCACTCAATAAATAAATACACTATACTTCATGCTAAATCGACTTACTGTAATTGTTTCATTGTTTCACATCTGTATAGTTTCTTCAAAGTGAGTGTTGGAGTTGGCAGCCATCTTCGCTTTTGTCTTGGTTATAACTAAATCCTTCACTTGTTGTTTGCCGTGAACACTTGAAGTGACTGGGGCCAGCTGGCGAAGATCTCTAATAATGTGTCCATGGAAACAAGGGTCACATGTGTCTTATCACTCAACACAGGAAAAAGCCTTCTGTTCAATGTTGCTGCCATTTTGAAATGATGTCAAAACAGATCACAATCACATCCTTTTGTTTTGTTCCTTCATTAGTGAATTACAAAGGTCTCTGAGGAGTTTCTTGGTCTCTTTCTGCATGTTTTTTAGCACCTCAGAAAGCCCCAATTTATCATAATAAGAATATCCATCTTATGTGCATTGATGAGAAAATAACAACCAATTATTGTACAAAAAAATACAAGATGCAAGCCCCATATGAGCCATAATACAATCTTGATCAGGCTCAGGGTAAAGTATGATCTGTTTCTGACCTGGAAAACAGAGGATTCAGTTTTCCTTTTGACCAATGAACTGCTGCGATTCTCATCTTGAATCCACAAGTTTTTGTTCCTTCTGATGGAGCGCTGTTGTATTGGTATTGTTGATTTCCTGAATCATTTCAAAAACACATTGAAATCTACTGAATGAGCTCTTACGTCAGTTACAAAAGGTAAACAGTGATCGGCAAACTCCTAATTGCAGGATTTTGACCCAAGCCATTCCATTGGTGGATTGTCAGCCCTACACTTTGAGATGGTGCCTCGCTGCAGCTTCCTTTCTAATGGCCATGTGTGAAATAATTTTTGTGTGTAGAAAGAGAATCACCTCTCAGCTACAAGCGTATAATTAATGTCACTGTGACTATTTTAAGCATCCGTGCACATGCCCTTCAGTTCATGTGTGCTTATGTGCAAACAGATGAGAAAAGAAAAATCCTTACATGTCCTCTGATACAGTACAACAGCTTCAAAGGGCAGTTTGTCATTTACAAATGGAATTCATAAAGAACTACAAATCATTCTGTCAAACAGGTATTAATGCCAAGAGGAAATTAAACATGAGTAGAAGGAAATGTGTCATTTGGATACCAATCACTTCCTTTAAATCAGAAGGGAAACAGGATTAAAATGTAATATTGCTTAAATGTCAGATGCTCTATTTAATAAGTCAAATAGTTGACTACCATGGCATGTTGGGTAATGTAGTATGCAAATATAGAGGAGAAATAGATAATGAGATTTTCAGCAGTCTATCTCATGCCACTTGTCTCTTTTGAAATGGAACCCCCCTTATAACAGTGTTTTCTATCACAATACTTCTAAATGTGACATAATGTCTGTGAATAATGAACTATTATGAGTATATAGTTAA